TTCAAACTTTCAAGAAGAAGAAAAATTAGAAGAATTTCAAGAAGAAGGAAAAAAGCAAAGCAAATTGGTCCAACAATGAAAAGAACAAGAGTGAAGACAAAGCTAAATCTTCAAAAGGTGGGGGCTTTGGAAGATGTTAGAACAAGAAGAGGGATTTTGACAAAAGTAAGGTGCAATGTTTCAACTGTGAGAAGTATGGGCACTTTGTTGATGAATGTTGGTTCAAGAAAGGTCAAAAGACTGATGAAGAAGCAAATTTGACTCGTGGAGATGATTTCATTACAGTGTTGATGATGGCTACTACTAGTAAGGAAAGGATTAAGAATGAAGAATGATTTCTTGATTATGGGTGCTCAAATACATGACATCACATAGAGAATGGTTGACAAGTTTTGATGCTAGCAAGAAAACAAGCATTAAATTGGCTGAAAGTGGAGAACTTGCAGCTGAAGGTAGTGGAAATATAGTGATCAGAAACAATGATGGAAAAAGAATCATTATTGAAGATGTGATGTATGTTCCTGAGATGAAGTTCAATCTCATGAGCATTGGTCTACTGGTGGATAAGGGATTCTTAATGACCATAGATGGTGAGTCTCTAAACTTGTTTGATGCAAAGAAGAATTTGATGCTTAAATCAAACATGTCAAAGAATAGAAGATATAGATGCAACATCTCAAGTGAAAAGATGATGTGTTTGTCTGCAGCAGTGAGTGAAGATGTTGAAGATCTATGACACAAGAGGTATGGTCACCTAAACTTTAGAAGTCTTAGTAATTTAAATTCTAAAGAACTGGTGTGTGGCTTGCTAAAACTGAATGCCAGAAGAGCCATTTCTGAAGTATGTTTAAAGAGCAAGCAAAGTAGGTTTTCCTTTACTTTTGAAGCACCTAAAAGATCCAGTGTAGCACTGCAGGTGGTTCACTCTGATATATGTGGTCCTTTTGAAGTATCTTTATTAGGGGGGAGAAGATACTTCATCACATTTGTAATGAATGTACAAGAATGATATGACTGTATACAATCAAGCTTAAGAGTGAGACTTTAGATGTATTCAACAAATTCAAAATCTTAATAAAAAAGGAGAGTGATAAATTTATTAAGATCTTGATAACTGATGGTGAAAGAGAATACACCTCAAAAGAATTTGAAGTCTTTTGTGTCAATCAAGGCATTAAGTATGAGGTAACAACTCCCTATACACCTCAACATAATGGACTTACTGAGAGAATGAATAGAACTTCACTGAATATGGCAAGAAGCATGATCAAAGCAGAAAACCCTACCACACAAGTTTTGGGGTGAAGCAGTCACTACAACTGCTTACATTCTGAATAAATGTCCTACAAAGAAGATGAATTTGAAGATACCAGAGGAAGCTTGGTGTGGAAGAAAGCCTAGTGTGAAGCATTTCAAGGTTTTTGGCTCTTTGTGTTACAAACATGTACCAAATGTTAGAAGAAGAAAACTTGAAGATAAGAGTGAGATTATGATACTTATAGGCTATCATCCAACAAGTGCCTATAAGTTGTATAATCCTCTAACTCAAAAGGTACATGTCATTAGAAATGTGATTGTGAATGAGACTGAGAAGTGGAAATGGGAAGAGAAGCCATTATACAGTAAAGAGAATCAACAAAGATGCATTTATCCTAATTCAAGTGATGAATCAGATAATGAATAAGTGAACAATAATGATGCAGATGAACCAGAAGAGAGAGGAAGCAGTTGTGAGACCTCAAAGAATCAGACAAGCTCCTAGAAGGTTGAATGATTATGAAGTAATTCCTGATAATACAGGAAATGATGAATGTGATATCATTCACTTTGCAATATTGGCATATGATGAACCTCTCAATTACAAAGAAGTACTAAAGATAGGTGTATGAAAGAAAGCTATAATGGAAGATCTTCATTCAATTGAGAATAATCTAACTTGGGAGCTAGTTAACTTGCCAGATAAGAAAAATAAAATAGATGTGAAGTGGGTGTTCAAACTGAAATTAAATCTTGATGGGAAAATTTCAAAGTATAAAGCAGGGTTGGTGGCTAGAGGCTTCTTATAAAAACATGGTGTTGATTACAATGAGGTGTTTGCTTCAGTTGCAAGGCTTGAAACTGTAAGGTTAGTTATGGCTCTAGCTTGCAAGAGAAGGTGGTCACTTTATCATTTCGATGTGAAATCAACCTTTTTAAATGGTCCACTTGAAGAGGTAGTGTTTGTGTCACAACCTCCTGGTTTTGAAGTGCAAGGCAAGAAGAACATGGTGTATAGACTCCATAAGAGTTTGTATGGGCTAAAGCAGACCCCTAGAGTCTGGAATAGAGGATTGATCAGTTTTTGATACAAATAGGTTTTAAAAAGTGTTCTGTAGAGTTTGGTGTGTATGTGCAAAGTTCAAGTGAAGAAGAGACCATAATAATCTGCCTATATGTTGATGATTTTCTCATTACAGGAAGTAGGACATCAGAGATTGAAAAAGTGAAAAACAAGTTGAAATCTAAATTTGAGATGACTGGTCTAGGGGAACTCTCATTCTTCTTAGGAATGAAGTTTCTGAAGGTGAAAAATGGAACAGTTATGCACCAGCAGAAGTATGTAGGTAAACTGCTTGAGAAATTTGAAATGAATAGCTGCAATTCAATTTCAAATCCATCAGAGATAAACTCAAAAGTGGATGAGTGCAGTGAGGAAGAAAAAGTTGATCCAACTTTGTTTAGACAAATGATTGGTTCATTGAGATACTTGTGCAACAATAGGCCTGACATTTGCTACTCAGTCAGTGTGATTAGCAAATTCATGCATGATCCAAGGAAGACTCACTTGATAGTTGCTAAAAGAATAATTAGGTATATAAAAGGCAGAAAGGAGTTTGGTCTGCTAGTCCCAAATGGAAGCAAAGGTGAAAGAAGTGAACTCATTGGATACTCATATAGTGATTGGTGTGGAGACAGCACAGATAGAAAAAGTACCTCTGGCTATGTTTTCAAGTTCAATGAAGCAGTTATATCATGGTGTACAAAGAAACAACCAGTGACTGCACTTTCATCTTGTGAGGCAGAATATATTGCAAGAACATTTGCAACTTGTCAAGCAATGTGGTTGAATTCAGTGATGAAGGAACTAAGGTGTGAAGTGATGAAGCCCCTGGTAATCAGAATTGATAACAAGTCTGCTATTAGCCTTGCTAAAAATCCAATATCACATGGCAGAAGTAAACACATCAATACAAGGTTTCATTTCATTAGAGAGCAAGTGAACAATGGAATGATTGAAGTGAAATATTGTCCAATTGAAATGCAGCTGGCAGATAATTTTACAAAGGCTTTAAAGCTTGACAGATTTGAATTTTTGAGAAAGAAACTTGGTGTTATGAGTGTTCAACAGTTATGAATTAAGGGGGAGTGTTGAGTTTTAATCCATAAATGTCATCTGTACAAGTTAGTTAGTAGTTTGTTACAAATTAGATGTTAATTAGTTACCTTGTGTATGGATGACTTGCTTAGCAAACTAATTTGTAGCACATATAAATAACACATTGTAATGTGAAATAATAATCAATGAGAATCATCTCTATTCTCTCTCTCCTTCTCTCCAAGATGTCAAAATATTAGAGTGTGTGTGTGCTATTTCTTTCATCTTACAATTACAATCTTACTGCACATTAAGTGTGTGTTTTAACAAATTTAAATCTAATAATTTTTATTTTATTTCAATATTTTATTTTGAAAATAATATTAATTTAAAATATCAAATATATAAAAAGTAGACTTTAAAAATAATTTTTAAATTTGTAAAACAAAGGAGCTGAACCTAACGAGTCGAACTGAATTGCTCGTGAATTTATAATAAGTTGAATTTAAATTTAGAAAAAAAAATTGTTGAACTCGAATCGAAATTTAAGCTAAACTAATTCTTAACAAATCAAACCAAATTACGATGAATCCGACTCGATTCGATTCATTTCCAACTCTAATTAAAAGAATAAAAATTGGAAGGTATAATAAAATAAGATAAAATGGATGACATTATATTTCACATCTTCATCTATCATTTATAAATCCAAATAATAGTATATCACTCAATTCTATTTCATTCTATTCTATCATATTTTACCGATTTAAATATATTCTCAATATATTTTTAATTTTTTTATCTAACCATAATTATTTTAGTTGTTAATTTTTAAAACTAATATTTTAGTACGATTTTATAGATCATTTTGAAAAATAAAATAAAATGTAAATAGATTAAAACTATTTTATGATTGATAATTAGTGGAAGATAACTAATATATAAATTAATTTATTAAAATAATGTATTTAGTAAAATTATTGTTGAATTAGTTTATAAATCTGATTTGATATAAAAATATATTTAGTTTTTTAAAGTAAAATAATAAATATTAAATTGAGAGAAAAAATGATAAATTATTAATAAAATTAATTTAGCAAAAAAAACTATAAAATAAATTATGAAGAATTTAATTAATATACACTGATAGTGTACTATCAATTAATCACAACCGTTAATTTATATGAAATGTTTGACTTTTATTTTAATTACTTAAAAATCGACGGATAATTGTGATTTATTAACGGAGCAAAACTTTTTACACTCAACATATAACAATTAATCTCAATTATGAGTTCATAAGAAAATGACAGTTTTTAAATAAATCTTTATAAAATTCAGAGACATATAATTTAAGTCATAATAATTCATCATGAGAATCTCAATTTCGATTTCTCAAAAATATCATAATTTTTCTTTCTCGAAGTTATCAATTTATGATAACAAGTCACTACAGCCTCATAAAAAACAATATATAAAAAGAAATTCTAGAATAAAGATTTAAAATACACATTTTAAAATTAATATTTAAAATTTAATTTTAGAAAAAATTAATTATTAAAAATTATATATGTTTTTTATTTGTGTATTTAAACTAGAGAGAATCTTAACTTTATTGTAACTAACCAGAACATACTTACACAACATGAACAAGAATAATAACTCTTCCCAATTTTCCTTCAAGGTAGTACTAATTCATAAATTCAATTTTCCAGTTTTTTTTTTGTTTTTTATTTATGAAAAATTTCTTAATTTTAATTAGTTGAATTGAAATTCTTATATATTATTTGCAGGGTAATTCAAAAAATTCTAGTATCATAGCTTCTGCTGCTAAAATGGTGAAGCCCAACAGCAATAATCAAACCAAGTTGGTTGATTTTGTTGAAAGCATTGTTCAAAATCCAACCTTGAAATCTATTGGTGTTGCTGTTCAGGATTCATTCAACAAAGAGAGTGTGATTTTAGGGAAATCTTCAACTCCAGAGGAAGGTAAACTTAAAAAAAGTACCATTTTTGCATGCTTTTCAAAATAAGTTAATTTTTTTTTATCATGTAAAAATATTTAGTGAGTAAAAATTCAGAAAGATAGTAATTAGTATATTATTATTATTATTATTATTATTATTATTATTATTATTATTATTATTATTATTATTATTATTATTATTATTATTATTATTATTATTATTATTAGGAGTGAAGAAAGGACATGGTAAATCAAAGCTGTATGAGATCTGTGCTGCAAATCATTGGAAGCCTCCTGTGTTTGAATGTTGTAAAGAGGAAGGACCACGTCATTCCAGAATGTAAGTTTTCTTGCAAAATGATTCTGTTTTATGAATAATGTGTTTATAATTATGGAAATGAAGTTTTCTATAAGTTCCGCATTTTGGCCCTCTTTACAACTTAATTTGCAGTTTCTACATTATAAGAACTCTTTATGTATAATCTATTTCTATAGCAAAATATAAAATAAAGTCAACTCTTTTTTCGTATTAGTTATAAGCTCTCTAACACCGAGATCTCTGAAAAAAGGCGTGTTAGTGTCCGTGCCGGTGCACTGACATGACACTGACACTGACATTTGTGATTATATTTAATTTATTTATTTTTCATACTATTACCAATGATGACGTGTTGGTGTCGGTGTCTTATCAGGTGTCCGTGCTTCATAGGTTATTGTGTTAGCAGTTGCAACCTCATATAAATCAGAATCAGTATAGCAAATAAGTGACATTTTCTATGCTGTTTTCTCGGTGACTAATTCATGTTTTTCCCAGGTTCACATTCAAGGTTATTATTGAGATAGAGACAGGTAAAGCATCTAAAAACATAGAGAGAACTGAAGCATCTAAAAGCATCGTAGAGGTCTACGGTGCTCCTCATCAAAAGAAGAAAACAGCAGCAGACGACGCAGCCGAGGGTGCATTATGGTACTTAAAGCATATAGGTTTTGTTTTGAAGAACAAATAAAAAAGTACAAATTATTGAATATCATCGACAGCCAAGACTTTCGCATCCACAAAGTTATTTCATTCTTCGGTTATGCTATCTAGACTCGGTTGCCAGTAATCAGAAGACCATGCTCTTTTAGGCGAGCCTCTTTTTCCTGCTAAATCTGTCTTCCTCTTCCTGTTTAGTGCATTGTTATCACGTAGGTTAGTACTGCTCGGCGATGTTCTTGTTTCCTTTGTAGCATCACTGGCTTTCGCTTTAGCTACTCCTCCGTTTAACAGGCGCACGATGAAATTATCATATGATGAACCACCGTTCTTCTCATTTACGTCTATACTTTGATTTCTAACATCTGTTATTGTTTCTGATATCTTGCTCTCATTCGTTGAATTTTGCTTGTGATGATTAGATTTCTTTGTAACACTCTTTTTCTTGAAGATACAACAACCAGAGATCATACCGTCATCTTCATTCTTCGCTGTGTGGGATTGGGATTGCGTGTTTCTAGTTTCATCGAGCAAAGTACCGATTGTCATTTCACGAGCAGGAGAAGGAGAGTTTCTTGGAGAAAGACCTTGAAGCTTTCTTATAGTACTTATTGGCACTACATAGAATTTTTGTCCAAGCATGAGCACGGTGTCTGGTTCAACAACTGCCCATGGTTGCTGAAACACAAACGGATGCGCAACGTAGCATCTTGGGTTGCGGCACATAATCTCAGCTGCAGTCACAGGTCTGTCATGGAGCTCAACACGACCGCCGGGATGGACAATCCGGAGAAGCACGGTCTTTGAGTTATTAGTACAAATCCAACTTGAAGATGGCATGGTTTCGATGTATCTGCGGAGGAGGAAGAGGTTAAAGTGGGAACATGCTTCTGTTACATCATTGGGAAGGTCTGGAGAGTATAAGTAGCTTATTGAGTTCAATAGAATAAAACAAAACTACAAGATATGTGGTTTACATTGTCATCATAAAAAATAATCTTGTTGGTCTTGGCTGTTTCTGATATCTTCATTGATACTATCGTAGCATTTGTTTGCATGTTTCTCTCTTGTTTCCATTTACTGTGCCTTTGCCTCCTGCTTAGATGCTTCCACTCATGGACCTCATCATCTTGCTTCTAGTGGTTACTCATTACTTATATCGGATGAGACGGGAAGAATTATCTTCTAACTTAACCAAAGGTCTTGGGTTCGAACTAGTCCTCGGCAGTAGTATTAAATTCTATTGAGGGAGAACTTTACTGTCCATTGTGCTCCTCCACAGTTCGAGAGATTAGTCTCTGCAGCTGTGTGCAGAAGATATCTGATTTCTAATTTAAAAAAAAGATAAATAATAAGAGATTAGTCTCTGCGTGCAAAAGATATCTGATTTCTAATTTAAAAAAAGATAAATAATGATATTATGAAAGATGTGAAATAGGCACTGTCTTAACATGTTGGTGCTACGGTGAGTTTGGAAAATTCAGTAAACCACCCTGATTTTGATAAAAGACCTCTTTGAAGCTTCAACAAAACCATGGTGTAACCCTAAACTAGCCATGATCCTAAACACGCACTTAATGATGGAGACGACTAAAAATCGATTTTCATTACAAATCATACAGTCTATTTCTAATACTATATACATTTTAGATTTTAGTCAAAGTAGTATCACAAGAATCCTAATTTTTAGATAATTCATTTTAGAAGCTATAAAGCATAAGCTGAGTAACAAGTTTGTTGTTGTGAAGTGACTGAATTTCCTTGAACTTGATGGACATAAAAAACAATGAAACACTAAACAATGTTGTTGGAGGAATTTACCATCCTATGTTTGTTTGTATCCGTGGAAAACCAAACATAATTCAACATTCGAAATCGTGAACCTCAAGAAATTCTGCATGTACTTGAAAAAGCAATGTGTGGATAGTATTCCTCTTGTTTTCTAATAGATTCTTGTTGTTTTCCTTAAAGTTAAACTTGAAAACGAATTTTAAATTTACATGCCCTATCCAAAACAAAATGGAATTAATTCATGCTTAATTACATTACATATAAGAAAAGAAACTAAAAAAGGAAAAAAAACCATCTGAAAACACAGTTTTCTATAATCATTGAAAGTTCTCTGAGCTGATTGGTTCTGTAACTCTGAGTGATCCTCCAAGCTCTAAGGGTACCAAGGGAATGAGAGAGTGCAAGACATCTGTTATAAGTGGTCTGTAACTTGGTTCTGCTTGCACACATAGCACAGCCACTGCAGCAACCTGTCAAATGTTAAGATGGATTAAGAAGCGTCGTTTACATGTTATGAGTTATGGTTAAGCATTAAAACATGTGATTATAGTGATTCTATTTAGTTAACCTGATATAGATGCTTCAAATCCATTGTGTTTTGGATAACAGGATCCAGAATACTTGGAAGCTTTGATCTGTCAGTTAGCTGAGGCATGGCCTGCATATCGAATCTCAAAGTCTTAGCCATTATAAGTACACCAGAACTCAAATTTTCAACCAGATTCTTTGTTACATACCCATGAAACCAAAGATTGATATTGGTCTGACGACATGTTTTCCATCGGTTTTCTTCCGGTAAGAAGCTCTAGAAGTACAACCCCGAAAGCATAGACATCGCTCTTATCAGTTAGTTTACCTGAAAAACTTACCATTTGTTAGCTCCCCTATTTTAAGCATAATCACAATTGAAGAACTAGTAGTAATGTATACCGTGTGATATGTACTCGGGTGCCACATATCCTAAAGTTCCCGACATTTTCATGTTCTTGTGTTGCACGCCAGAAGCTACGGCTAGTCCAAAATCTGATAGCTGAATCACAAAACTCAGTATAAATGCAAATATAAGTACTAATTGACAATATGTACGGTTAATAATTCGTTGTATGGTCTAACCTTGGCGTTAAAATCAGAATCCAGAAGAATATTGGAAGATTTTAAGTCTCTATGAACCACAGGAGGATTGGAGTTTTCGTGGAGATATTCTAATGCTCTAGCAGAAGAAATATGTATCAGTAATCATAGATAAAACTAATGGTATACTAGTATTAACTAGTTTTTACTTGAGCACTATAAAGAGTCACAAACTCACCTAGCAACATCAATTGCAATTCTTAATCGGATATACCAAGTTAAAGACGATCCGCGAGTAGGACCTATAATCGGTAATACCAATGAAAAAAAATACATATAATGGTTAGATTCTCAAAATGGGATACTTTTCACTCTTTTCTGAATCAATATTAGTACAAATGTACCATGTATTTGAGTTTCGAGAGAACCACTCTCCATGAACTCATAAACAAGAAACCTCGATTCACCGTGAATACAATAGCCTAGGAGTTTTATGATATTCTGATGCCGAATCTTGCTCAATAAACTCACTTCATTCTGCAATTCAGTGCAATAACTAAAGGCAAATTCAGTATGACAGAAAATAGTACACATTGAAATCTAGCTATAAAGGATCGTCGATCACCTCAAATTCTCTATCCGCATCACTGTCTGCTTTCTTCACAGCAGCCTTAAAATGTTCATCGAAATGTGCTCTGTATACAATTCTAGAACCACTCTCTCCCATAATATTATCTCTGGAAAAGCTGTTTGTTGCACCTTCTAACAATTGAAAGTCGAAAATAGCAACTGAGCTCTTCTTATCCGCCATTCTCGAGTAGTTAAGTTTCGCACTAACAGAACTTAAGTTTTCCTTTTCCCTTTTTGCAGCCTCTACAAATTCAAAATCATATAAATGAGAAACCGAAAAGAAACTTTCTATGCTTTCATCACCTCATCTTGGTAAAAAAAAAACGACGAATCACCGATTTCAATGATTGCAGAAATCGTAAAACTTCTATCACAACAGATCCTTTTTAAAGACTAAATTGATCGACGATTTTGAATTTCATGAATCATTTCAAAACATCGATAATTTTTAAGGACGAAAATCGACTAACACCTACAATTTCATGGACTAATTAAACAAGATCAAAATAAAAATTTCAAAAGAGAGAATAGAAACCATAATACCTAATACTCCTCGGCTTTTACTCGCGGAGCTTGTTAACTTTTTATGTCGCCGGAAGAAGAAAAACAATAAGAAGATGAAGATTCCAGCAAGAAGAGCAGAAGAAGCAATTAATGCTAGTAGAATTCTCATATTCAAATTCTGGTGATGCACTATTCTTACATCTTGATTTCCTGCATCATTCATTGTAAAACAATACATCAAACTCATGAAGCACCATAATCTGAATCAAACTACGAAAAAATCCACATAATATAAAAATGCTGATGAGTATTTCATCTTTCAAGCAATGAAACTTCATGATTCATCATTGATTACATTATCTGCTATGAGATCTTCAAAATCTAAGACTAGTTCATGATTTTGTAGAATAATGAAAATTTATCGTAACATTTAGTTATAGTTTACCTGGAGATTGAGCTTGAGGTTGAGGTTGAGCGTTAGCATTATGAATTATTGAGCAAAGAGAAATGGTGATGAAGAGAAAAAGAAAATTCATTTTGAGTTAGTTGTTTGTTGCGAAGAGAAGCTTCGTTTCTATTCTTGTAAAGTTTTTGAATCGAGTTTTGGAAGTGATTCTGTATGCAGAAGTAGACAAAGGCTTTGTTTCATTGAAACCGATAAAGTGCTTTTTTTTTAATAATCCATTTGATGAATGATGATGATGATAAGTTGGTTTCATTCATGAGTGTAATAAAGAGAGAAAATTAAGGGACCACCTTTCCCTCCATTCATATATAAATATATTTATCATTGTTCGATCAAGATCAATCGAATTCATATTTTAACTGGTATTTTTTTTATTTTAAGAAAAAGTAAATTTAAAATAAAAAATTCTAAATTAGGAGAGGCAATATGGAACGTAAAGACACGTGGCAGTGATTTAGAGGTGAGAGAGAGAGTTTGGAAGTTGCAATGCATAGCATGTTAATGTGGGGCATGATCATTCATTGATACTACACCAACAACTTTAATGTGCTTTGCCTTTTTTTTTCTTTTCCAACTTATTGAAAATGAAAGATGGACTAGACCCTTTTAGATTTTTACCTTTTATTTTCAAATTAATTCAGAGTTGTCAAGGCTACTTATTCACTCACGGTCCCCTTGCTTATTAAATTGGTGGTTCATCAATAACATTTTGATACTCGGATCTGCGATATTTCACTTATTTATTAATTAAATATAAAATAATGGTTGAAATCATGGGCATTTGATTATACATGTAACCGGACATCATTTGTTTTCATACGTGTAGTTTTCACTAAATAATCCAATTCAACCTAAAAATTAAGAAATGAAAAAACAGCAAATATATTGTGAATGAACGTAAAGGAAAGTACAATAAGTAATAGAAAGTGGCTCATAACTATAGTCATGCAATGCATATTGTATGATTTTACTTTTGTCTAGAAACTATGATGATAAGGTTAGACAAACTTTACAGAACGCGTGACAAAAATCACATAGGTCACGTGAATTTGTTGTAAGTTATATGTATATATATATATAGAGAGAGATATGAATAAAATAATAAAGTGGCAGGTGGAGATTCAATTTGCGCCGTTGTACACGCAGGTCTAATGCTTATGTTTTTAAGATGTTGGATATAATATGCTTATGTTAATCAAATGATTAATTAATCACACAGTAGTAGTAATTCAAAGTCTTCTTGAGTAAAAGTATAATTGTCTTGTTGGGAAAACTTATGTGCTGTCAAATTTGACTATTTGAAAAACTTTATAAGAGAAATTTTTTTGTATAAGTTACTAGTTTAAGAACTTTTACACATGTAGACTAGTGTAAGAAA